TGTAATCCGTGGAGGCTGGGTTTAGACACGCGTTCTGCCGTGAACGAAGGGCTCGGTGCTGGACTCTCCCGCCTACCGCCGTGCGGCAGTTTAGAAACCTGAGTTTGCCCACGTGAAACCGAGTTCACCCGATCGCAGTTATTGGGTTAATTATATCCAGTTAACTTGAGAAAATCCTGAAATCCTGAAAGTGAAACCTGCTTCGTGACCCAGCCCCATGGTGAAATAAAATCGCTGCCCTGCAACGCGTCACAATCAGGGTAATGTGCACGACGGGATTCTCCGTCTCTTTGCTGCTCTAAACCCAGTCCGGAGTCAAGTCCTCCACCATAGCTGCTGGGACATGCCTTAGCTCTGCTCTTCCTCCCATACTGCCAATCCCTTTCAGTCTGTCTCCTTGGCCATGCCCCTGCCCTGCACACACAAGCACGAACAGTGAAGACTGTTAAAAGGAAGTGCACTGTACCACACATACCTGCAGTGGAGGAGAAGCACATCACCATCGGTGGACAATTCACTGCAAAACAACAACAAGAGGGTGTTTACAGCAGGAACCAAGTTACACCAATACAGGGGTTTTCACCTTTTGACAAAGGTACATATTGACAAAAATGTACACACTCTCATAGTAACACAGTCACAAACTGACCAGTAGGGATAGAAGCGATCACAGTAGATTCACACGATGCAGAAAACATCACGTGGCACAGACACTCACACACAGAGTAGGCACAGGTGCGCAACACAGAGCAGACAGTATGCAGCTACACACTGTATGGACACAGCCACATTAACACTTAACACTCGGGATTATAACAAACACCTACAAGTCTACAGAGCTCTAAACCCCCTGAAAACTCTGCTCTCTCTGCCATCCTTGACATCTATGTTAAATTTCAGCCCCCGCAGCCCAGCCCCGCAGCCCAGCCCCGCAGCCCAGCCCCGCAGCTCAGCCCCGCAGCCCAGCCCCGCAGCTCAGCCCCGCAGCCCAGCCCCGCAGCTCAGCCCCGCAGCCCAGCCCCGCAGCCCAGCCCCGCAGCCCAGCCCTACTCACGCTGGTAACGAGGGATGTTCCTGCGCAGAACAGGACCCTGGACGGGCTGCTTGTTCTCCTTGTTCACGCCAATGAAGGCGGTGTGAGAGCACACCACTCCGGACTGAGTGCTCAGCTCCGTCGCCCTCTTCCTCACCGCCTTCTTCTCCTCCTCGCCCTCCTGCTCCCGCTCCTCCCTCTCCAGGGAGCGGAGGAGCGAGCGTGCCCCGAGCCTGTGGATCGTCAGCCTGCGAGAAAAGAAGAGCGACTCGCACGAGCTCTCCCCTCCACTCCTTCACTGCTGGCGCAGCCAGGTGTCCCAGAAAAATACCCCCCCCCCATTTACTATGAAGGAAGCAGCTCGATCCCTGTCCACTACAACCACTAGGTGGCGCCACCCACCTGGACGTGTGAGTCCAAGCCCTGGCATAACTGCAAGTCTTTGTACCAATCAGCCTTGATAAAGAGACGCAGGGCCTGATGCAGACGATCCTGCAGAAGCTTGATGTTTATGCCACAAGCAGTGTGAGGAATCCGAAATGATCAGCTCTGTTACAGCACGGACCCTGCATCGCCTCTGTCTGCCTGCTTTTTTGCTGTACTACAGTGCTTTGAGTTGACCCAAGTCGCTTCAGGTGCTGTAGGTTTGAGTCCCCCACCAGGTCTTCTGGCAGCTCAGCATCTCCGAATACGTTTTATCAAATGGCCTGTTTGGAACTGCTCTTACGCTGTTTAGCCACAGAAACATTATTTTACACTCATGAGTGCAAACAGATGAAAAAATCCCATTCAAGTCACTGTTAACCAGGGAATCTGTGTAGCTATTGACTGCCATGATACACAAAATTCCCTCACATTTCCAAATACAATGAAATATTGAACTACAAAATAACTGTACAGTCAGTAAATTAAGTGTGACAGTAAATATATCATGCTGTTTAACTTAATGCAGTGTAAGGAGGACAGATATAACTATCTTACCCACTCTCCTTGTCGGGCTTCAGGCTGAAGCTCAGTTTGCTCTTGTAGGGCTCATCTCCCAACTTGTACTCCAGCAGCACTGAGCCTTCTGCGCTGTGATCACACTGAGAGAAAGAGAGAGAGAAATGAATACTTGCCAATCCCAGTGCGACCGGGAAGGGGACAGGAATGGAAAACGTGGAATTAATTCAGACAGGCATTTGATTCCACAACATTGCTGTTCAAGTGACAGACTGACAGGGATGGAGGAATCAGCACTGCAGTAGAAACAGATGATCTATAGAGACCAGTGCTGTAGTTAAGAGATGATTTATAGAGACCAGGTCTTACTGCACGCAGAGAGGTGGGAAGAGAGAATGACTGGACAGAAAGGCTCATCATCACCGCAGGGAAACACAGCAAGAGAGGCACAAAATGGACAGGCTGACTGTAGACACAGGAAAACCCGAAGGGTTTCCTTTCGGCAGTCCTGACCTGCCCTTTAAGCTGGGCGTACAGCAGTGCTCTCTGTCCCTGGAACAACGCTTTCAGGGGAGGTGACAAGGAAGACACCTCCAGCCCAGACGGGACGTCCCAGCGCACAGAAATCTCCCGGACTGCAGGCTGAAGAGCGAACCGCAGAGACTGCATCACCTGAGAGGAGGAGAGGGACATCGCCAGACTGAGACACGTTCTCTTTCATCTGATGTCAAGAGACTTGTACAAGCATTTTACAACACTGGGACTGGATTGCTGTAGTGCAGACTTCTCAGGTACCACTAGTCATAGTAATTCAGGCCTACAACTTATATAAACTCAGGTGATAATAAGAACAGAGTTGAATTGTAGACATATCAGCCCTATTCTGGCAGGGCTGAAACTTCCATTCAGGATTGTTTTTAAAGTCTTGCTTTTGACATGTAAATCTCTACAACAGTGGTTATATCACTCTATCCTGTTCCTGGGAGACCGCCCTCTGACCGGCGCCTGACCTTGGGCTGCAGGCGCTCGGTTCCGGTGATGAACTGGAAGTGACCGGACCCTTCCGTGGCCATTCCTCTGATCAGGGCACTGGAGGCTCCCTCTCCAATCCCAAAGGTGAAGCACCTGGACACAACACAGTCAGGCTGTACAGCGATATACGACCAAAACACACAGAGAAACACTGCACACCAGGCTACAGTCTGCTACAGGGACAGCGTCCAGCCCAGAGGAAAGGACAGGGGATCACAGGGGACACAGACTGGCAGAGACTACAGGGCCACATTCACACAGCTTTCCTGAAGGATCATTTTTATTCTACTTAATTTAGAAAAGCAAAACTAAATGTGATGTTGCCATATCACAAAAAGACCTGTTTCATGTGCCTGCAGGGAAATGGATAATTGATATAATGTATAATCGATTGTGTGGTTTCATGCCAAAATGTCTCACGAATATGACCCTGTGTGCCTGTGAAGAACCAAGATCAATAGCCATAGCGGACAGAGGGAAACAGAGTACCAATAAAGCTTACAGAAGCTGCATTTGAGCCATAGTGGGAAAAGACTCTTTGATAGTATAGATACCTGTAAGAAAGACTCAGTGGCCATGTACTGTACCCGCCTGCATACATCTGCGCCCAAGGCAAGGTAGAGAAACTCATAGACCATAAATCCAGTGACTGATACACGGGCAGGAGACTCAGTGACAGCACAGCCAGAAGATCCTACCTGTGCGAGAGACTATTTGTCTTCACAAGGTCTGTCACTTGTTTGGTGTTCCCTACTTCTCCATCCGTGAACACAAAGAGCTGGGAGAGAGTGAGAGACGGAGGAGTTATACTGCTTTCCTCGTGTTTTCCATAGAGACGTTCATCCCAAAGGATCCCCAAGCCCTTCAAACATAAAAAGGGGGCTCGTCCAGCCCTGAAGGGCCGCCCCGTGGACAGGACAGAAACCACTTTAAAGTGGTCGACTGTTCTTTAACTCGGATTCTGCACTGTGCCAGGAACAAAGGAGCCACAAGACCAGTCAGATGATGCCATTCTTCTTACACAGCTCCAGCCTGGCACAAATGAGAGAAATACCTCAAGCGTTCCCCTCTACAGCCCTGCTTCAGTGCCAGTCAGCCAACAGTGCTGGGGATTGTCCCCACACGGTATGGGTCCGCAGACAGTGACGGCATACTCCCACACAGCCCCAAAGCAGTCTGGGTAAGCACTGACGTCAGGAGTTCCTAAATTCATTCGACATCCTGCTGCACTGTGCTCAGAAAACTAAGCGAGTACCTGGCGAGGGTGGGCAGGCAGGCAGGGCTTATGGTAGATCTCGGTCAGAGGCCGAAGAATCTCCGTCCCTCCGAGATCAGCCTGCATCGTCTTCACCTTCGCCAAGGCCTTGTCCATGGTGTCCTGGCTGTACTCCACACTCTCCCTGCCGCGGAGAGAGAGAGAGAGAGGAGACAGAGGGGCCGTCAGGGCAGGCAGGGCACAGCCGACCAAGGACAGAGGGAAAGTCAGGCAAGACACCGCTCAACACTACCGAACGCAGCGGGCAGGAAGAACACTGCCCTGTGGGTCTCCATTGCCGACAAGGAAAGAATTCGAGGCACGTCTTCCAACTCTGGACTTCATGCATCATGGAACAGCTACAGTAGTTTCTAGAGGTCTTAATGACAGCGTATTACTGAAATCCTCCGTGAGACTGAGCATTCTGGTCAGGTTTCCTGGGACCGGCTGACAGCCGCTGCTGTCAGTTCTGAATCTCTCAGGTGTGTGTGTGGATTGCTTGATCACTCTCGGAGACCTGCGATGCGTGTCTGATCACTTACGGGAAGAAGGACTCATGGGTTGACCCAAAGCCATAAATATTGAAGTAACAGCCCAGGGGGAGGCTCTTCAGCAGGAGCAGCAGAGTATCCTAAAGACAGAGAGGGTGAAGGCTTGACAGAGGACACTGCAGAGCCCAGCGCCCAGTGACAGAGGACATCGGACTCTGGACCCATTAGCCCGGTGGAGCTCAGCTCCAGGCCTAAAGCTACTGGCCAGCAAGGTTTAAGAACAAGAAGAGTCTTCAACAGTAAGTCCATAAACCTTAATTCAATAAAAAAAAAAACATGTAACAGCTTTCCACTGGTCACTTTCCAGTGTATAAAACTGAGAAAGTGCAGGTGCTCAAAAATGCATTTGCAAACTGGACTTCAATGAGCAAGTGAGTGCGTATTAGCTCTGTAAAAAATACTGCACTGAACACCTGAGAAAGGTGACCTAGCAGGAGGCAATTAGACAGATATATTTGCTAAGAACTCAGGAAACACAGGGCAGGAGAAATTTTCAAAAACTTTCCCCCAAAAATTGTATGGTAAAGTAAGGGTATGAGAACTGTTTACAGCCCACGAATTTCCCCCATTTATTTTTAACACAATGCCAAAACTGCAATGGAAGCCAACTGCTCGTTTCTTTAAAAACCACAAAGTGTTGCTGGCACACTACACATCCCTTATTATTTCTGTTTTCACTTGAGCTGGGGTGTGAAAAGGTTTGAGAGTCATATAGAGACTGCCTTTTATCTTTAACACAATGCCACAACTGCCAAGGGGACAAAATACTAATTTCTTTAAAAACAAGAAGCGTTGCCGACATTCTTCACCACACATCCCTAGTTATTTTGGTTTTCCGAATCGAA